GTGTGTGTGTGTGTGTGTCTGTCTGTCTGTCTGTCTCTGTCTCTCTGTCCCTCTCTCCCTCCTCTCTCTCTCCTGCTGCGGCTGCTGATGTATCTTCCAGATCCTGCTCTAGCACCTGCCTACACGTCACCATGCTTCCCACCATGCTAATAATGAACTAAACCTTTGAAACTCTAAGCAATCCCCCAATTAAATGCTTCCTTTTGTAAGAGTTGCCTTAATCATGGTGCCTTTTCACAGCAACAGAATCCTGACTAAGACATTATGTTTATTTAAAACTACCTATTATGTGCTCTGCACTTCCAGAGATAGGCTGAACCAAACTTTTTAGCAATCATAGGTCATTGACAGAATATAGGATTGTGTGTAGTTTTGAAGTGTGTGTGTGTGTGTGTGTGTGTGTGTGTGTGTGTGTGTGTTCAAAGTATTTTTCAGTAAATATGGTTTACTCTTGTAATGACAATCAGAGTGCTATGTGGGATTTCTCCTAATTTCACCTCTGTTCAAACCCACTTTTACTTACTATGTAACAACAAATGTCTCCTTCAAGAGTACTTCATTTTTGCTCTCTCTAAAAGTTGCAAAAACAACTAAGATAATGAAAAGTTACTTAGGGAATTAGCTCACAGACTTTTCCCTGTGGCAAAATCAAAATGCCATGCACAGAGACATCATGGTGCTTATGCTAACTCTGGCATTTCACACATTTGAGCTCATTATTGGTCTCATTAATTTTGTGATTGTTAATAACACTGCTATTTATATGTAACCTAGTCTTTACAGGCTTCCATCAAACACAGCAAAACCCAATGGGTAATGCACCTAGAATGTTAAGCATGTGTCTGAATAATTTTCCTCAGCAGGAAACATTCTTTGAGATTGGATACATATGAACTACTGTGATGCCTAAGAAATGTTTTTATTTATGTTTTGATTCTTAGGGAAAAGTCTGGTGCAATGCATTGGTTTCCTCAACTAAGAATAAGAAAATATATATTTTAAAGGATATCAAATTGAAGACAAGATAACCTGTGAGTTAATTTTCCTACTGTGATATTTAAAAACAAAAATAAAACAAAACAAAACAAAAAACCCAATGAAAGCAATTTAAGGTGAAAAGGTTTGGTTTTGCCCACAGTTCAAAGTTACAGTTCATCAGCTAGTTGTGAGCCACCCAACACGGGTGCTGGGAACCAAACTTGGGTCTTCTGCAAGAGCATCAAGTGCTCTTAGACACTGGACCATCTATCCAGCCTTTAGTTAGTAAAATTTTACAAAAATAAAAAAAAGTTTCTGAACTTTTTACATTAAAAACAAAGTATGCATGGCTCCCCAGAAAATATACCTGTCACTTTTGCAATAGATGGTTTAACCCATCTTAATCCCTGAGAGAGTAACTCATAATTACTTGTCTCTATCAGCTGGGCCTCTATATGGTTGCAAACTTCTAAAGAATACACACTTATTCCATTATATATGATTATATAAGAACAGTAAAAACTATTATAATTTTTGTTATTAGTCTACATTTCCCAACCATGTATAAATGTGTGACAATTACCTACTGGTTAATGGCAAAAATCTAATAGCTAACAAAGCATTAATTGGTGATGGAAATACCTATATACCATTATTGGGGATGTTTGTGTTTTGCTTTGCAGAGACTGGAGAGATTGTTTTGTTTTCAGTAGTGGGAATTGAACCCCAGGTGTTATGTATGCTAAGTAAGCATTCTACCATTGAGCCCCATCTCTGATTCCTTTGGTGGAAATAGACATCAATTATGGAAAAAGCATGGGTCTTAACAAAAAAAAAAAAAAAACACACAACTGTGACCCAGAAATGCCAATAATAGGTGCACCCCCAATAAATATGAAATAATTATGTCAAAGACATAACTATATTTTCTCAAAAACAGGAAGACTAAAGAGGTATATTTGTGTCTTGGTGACTACAATTAATAATAATACATTGCATGTTTGAAATTGTCCAATTAATTGCTAAGTGTTTGTACCACCAAAATATACATGAAGAATCTATGTTAAGTGACTTAATTAGCTATTCATACATTATACATACTATATTCATACATCAAAACATAAGGCCATAGCTTTATATACAAATATATACTATTTTGCCTATAAATTAAAAAAAAAAAACAGTACCTCATAGGGAGACTTGTACCTGTGGAGATTAAATTGCCTCTCAGATGCAAATGTATTCTTTTATACCCTGACTTTGGTGTTGAACTACATTTCTATTTGGCCAGATACCTCTGAATTATACTCTGTTTAAGAAAGGAACAAGCAAAAGCTGAAGGTATTGTTTCTACCAAGATCAGCCTGACAGCAGTGAGTTCCACAGTGCTCAGACTACAGTCTCTAAAGACCATTCTTCACTAACGGGAAATGGGGCTTCTTGGAGAACTGGCAGGTTCTAGGTCTGGGGGATATATCAGACAAAACGAGTGAGGAAAGAAAGTTAACAAAGGTGACTGTTACATCAAAAGGACTCAGAAGCCAACATGAAAACAGTCCTGCTGAGTAAAGCTAGGTTAATTTAAGCATCAATCAAAAGGATAGTGCAGACATTTGAAACCAACACGTCTAGATTCGTGTGTTCACCATACTAAGAAGAACACATTGGTCTCTTCTGCAAATCATATGAGTCCAGCTTATTATTCTGAAAACTAGCAGTAAATAAGTAAATATGATGGATGAGAAAATTAAATGTGTATTTTCTCTTTCCTAGATGACTTAGACCTAAAGGGAACCAAATAGTTAATAAAGAAAGATATTCAAGTATTGATGAAGAAAGAAAGAAAATCCAGATACCCATCAAGGGTATTGTCTCTACTTGCAATTGATAAAAACTGTTATTATTTCATGAATCCTGAAGAAGATGTAAGATGCCTGAGTTGTGGGAGTCTCTATATGCAAGATACAGAAAGAGACATGGGCATCCTAGGGCACTGGCTCCCTTTGCCCAATGTGAAATGGAGGGATCTATAAGTACAGCACATACTGTGGGTTAGGGAACACTAAGCTGGCCACACTTAACATGGCCAAAGGAATCATGCAGCTGTGACTAAATCAAATCAGGAGGTGTGAAGAATGAGGATAATCTCACTGGAGCGGGCCCAATGTAATCCCAGAGAGCCTTAGAAAAGGGCAAGAAGACGGCCAGAGTTAGAGAACACGTGGCTTTGAAGGTGGAGGAAGGGCCACAGCAAAGAGCACACGTGCTTATGAGCGGCTGGAAAAGGGAAAGGGAATGGATTCCCCTGCACACTCTAGATGGATACCGTTCTGCCAGCTGCCCCTGGAGCCCATTTCACATTTCACAAAACATAAGACAAAAACGACTATTGTTCTGAACTTCTAGATGCCTGGTAATTCACTATAATTATAATAAGAAACTACTATAAAGAGGCAAAAGGATTTTTTTAAATTGTGTCTTGTCCTTTAACCTAGGAAATGTTTAGGGAAGTAGGACATTGTTGAGAACTCAGCAAGCAGTGTATCCAGCCAGATGTCCAGTCTTCATGACACATGAAAATTTTTGTTTCGCTTTGGTTTAGTTTTTGGTTTTTTGAGACAGGGATTCTCTGTGTAGTCCTGGCTGTCCTGGAACTCCCTTTGTAGAGCAGGCTGGCCTCAAACTCACAAAGATTCATCTGCCTCTGCCTTCTGAATGCTGGGATTAAAGGCATGCACCACCACACCCGGCTGTGAAGAAAATTTTCAAACCTTATGAATATTGTCATAGTTAGCTTTTGTCAACATGACATAAACCTAGACATGCTTGGGAAGAAGTCATATTAGTTGAGAAATTGCTCCCAACAGATAGGCCTGTGGACATGTTTGTGGGTCATTTTCATGATTGCTGATTGATGCGGTAGGGCCCAGACCAATGTGAGAAGTGCAATTCCTGGGCACTTGCTCCTCGACTGTTTAAGAGAGGTAGCTGGGGTTGGAGAGATGGCTCAGAGGTTAGGAGCACTGACTCCTCTTCCAGAGGTCCTGAGTTCAATTTCCAGCAACCACATGGTGGCTCACAACCATCTGTTATGAGATCTGGTGCCCTCTTCTGGTGTGCAGATATACATGGAAGCAGAATGTTGTATACTAAATAAATAAATAAATAAATAAATAAATAAATAAATTCTTTTAAAAAAGAGAGAGAGAGAGGTAGCTGAAGCAAGGGAAGCAAGTCAGTAAGCAGCATTTCTCACTGGGTTCTGCTTCAAGCTCCTGTCTGACCTCCCACAAGAAAAAACTATGTCATGGAAGTGTAAGCCAAGTAAACCCTTTCCTCCCCAAGTTGCTTTTGATCAATGCTCTAACATAGCAACAGAAAGCAAACTAGGACATAAATCCAGCAGAAAAATTAATGGATTCTTAGAAAAATCAAACTAAACAGGGTTAAAAAAGACAACAGATTGTTTAAAATACCCACAGAAATCAACCTGAAGTGAAGGGAGATTCAGACTAAAAAAGAACTTCTCAACAAACACAATGGTAGACAGAAGGTCTGGCCATTTTTAAGAGCTGGGAAAAAAATAATTGCGGGCTGGAGTTGTAGTTCAGTTCATAGAGTGCTTGCCTAGTATGCATGAGGCCCTGGGTTTGATCCCCAGCATCACATAAACTAGGCATGGTGGTGCATGGCTGTGATTCCAGCACTCAGGAAACAGATGCAGGACTGGAAGTTCAAAGTCATCCTCGGCTATATTTTGAGCAAAAGGCCAGCCTGGACTAACCCTGTGGAAACAAGAAAGAAAGAAAGAAAGAAAGAAAGAAAGAAAGAAAGAAAGAAAGAAAGGAAAGGGTGAAAGGAGAACATAGCTAGCAGAGGAAAGGAAGAAGGGCATTTCTCATCAAAGGAACCTTGTAAGAGACTGTCAGAGTAAACCAATATTAGAGAAAATATTAAGAAATGTTATTAACTGATAGGAGTCCAGAACCTCTGAAGAAAGCTGAGCATGAATGAAGAACAACACAGCTGGAAAGTGTATACATAAGTCCAAATAAATGTTAACTACATAAAACAGTAATAGTGCCTTGAAGAGTTAGCATCTAAGAGCATAAAATACAAGGCAATAATGGCATAGAAATGAAATGGGAAGTAAAATGATTAGGTGCTGTGTGGACCAGGTATTACGGGGGAAAAGCAAAAGTCACATCCACTCTAGATTTTGATATGTCAAGATGAATATTGTCCAGGCTTGGGTAAACATGAAAATGGTAAACAAAGGCTCCAGGAAGATAAAAACAGCAATAAAATCCCAAAGGAATTTCAAAGTACTAATTAATGTAATCATAAGCATTCTGGGACCCACAATACCAAACAAAGTCAAATTGCTGACCAAATGTTTTTATCTCTACCCTAACCTTTGGGACACTCAGTGAACACAGACTTAAGGGACAGAAAGTTAATTAATCTGTTAGTATTCAGCCTTTAAATTTTATTTTATTTGTGTGTGTGTGTGAGTGAGTGTGTGTGTGTACAATTGCACATTGAGTGCAGATGTATCCATGGAGGTCAGAGATGTTGGATCCCCGTAGGCGATGGAGTTACAGGGGTTTGTGAGCCACTCTGTATGGTGGCTAGGAACTGGATTCAGGTCATCTGCAAGAGCAGTACACACGCTTAAGCATCCTTCCAGCTCCCATTAATGTTTCTGCTTAATGGTTACTCTCTTGATGCTAAAACTACACTCAATTTTTCCCCATGGCAATGTGTTTACCACATATTCACATTCCGTCAACAGAGGGCAGCAGGTGACCACTATCCTGTTCACTTAATCTTCGTACTTCCATGGATGACCTAGAATAGACAAGATGTTTCATTCTGTTTTGTAGTTTGTTGCTTTTGTCACCAAGAATGGGAGGAGAATGATAAAAAGGGTTCTTCTGGGTTAAAAATCATTCTGCTAACTGAACTACATTATCAGCCCCCAACTAGAAGTCTGTTTTCATAAACTGGAAATAGAAATGAGCCAGGTAAGCACAAATTTGCTGGGTTTTCTCTTTTCATTTGTCAATGCCACCAAATCATTTCATTGGAAACATAAATCAGCAGCTTCTGTCTTGGGTCATGGCATTGTATTTCAGTGGATAGATTTTTATAAACCTATCCTGACATTTTCCTATCCACTTTAAAAAAAAAGAAAACAATGCATTTAAAAGGAATCTAGAAAGTTAACATACATGAAAGATACTGTGTAGCATGATTAATAAACCCCAGAGACAGATATTGGGGTTAAAGCTGAAGATCAGAGAAGCAAAGCGGCCAGCCACCAGAGAGTTCTCACTCTAACAATGCTCAGACCAAAAGGGTGATCCTGTCCTCAGACTGCATCCCCAAACTGTATCTGGCTCCACCAAACCTCAGACTGTCTTATATTCCTCTCAAGTGCTGGGATTAAAGGCATGGGATCCCAAGTACTGAGGTCACCTTTGTGTGAACTGTTTCTCTTTTAGACCAGATCATTTTGCGTAGCTCAGGGTGGGCTTGAACTGACAGAGATCTGTCTGCCTCTGTTGTCTCCCGAGTGCTGGGATTAAAGGTGTGTACCACCACTGCCTGGCCTCTATGTCCAACTATTGTAGCTGCTAGCTAATGTGGCTACTAGGATTAAAGGTGTGTGCCACCATGGCCTGGCCCCTATGGCTAGATTTGTGTGGCTAGCTTTGAACTCTGATCTTCAGGCAAGCTTTACTTGTTAAATCGTAAACAAATTATCACAATACTGGACATTTAGTATCTATGTAACAACTGTGAGATTCACAGTTGAGCTGCCCTTCATTTCTAACACCCCACCACCCACAAAGACTATTTACCTGGGTGCTCCTAAATTACAGGGCTAAGGCTAGGATCTCTGTACTGCAATCAGAGAGAACAAGCCTGAAAACAAGGCACTGTAGGCTACATGGAGACTAAGGTTCACTCCCAATTTATCAAATTCCTACCTACCTCTTTCTCTGAGTAACAGTAGTGATAATACTTTATAACATGAGAGCATCTGACTATTTTGTTTCATAAGTGTTGAAAGCATGAGCTCTGGAGTAAGATGAGTCTTGGAAAAACCACGATCGACATTAGGAATTTGGGGACCTGGAGAAACTAACATGGCCACTCTGAACCCCAGTTTTCCCTGGTAACTTTACAAAACACAGTTGTCATTTAAATGGGCATTTAGTAACACTTTTATTAGTTCTATGATCTATGCTCTATGATCAGTGGGCTGGCCAGAGGATTCTGGGAAGGTCTCTTGAGGATTCAAGCATTTAGTAAGAACGAGCAGGAAATTAAGTACATGGCAGACAGAGAGCAGGGTTGAATTTTGTATGTTGCAAAGATGACGCTGAACCCCACCTTTCCTTATTATTATAGCTTTTGGGGTTTTAGAAGAACAAAAAAATATTCATTTCAATTTTTCTGGCATGGAAAAAGACATACATAATGAAAATATTAGATATTCTAGTCTCCTCAAATAAGGAATTCAGGACTACTTTATACTTTATTCATTGACAAACAAATTTCATTCCTCTTTGTTATGAAAGAGAAACCTGAACAATGTAGAGGTCAACAGGAGTCAAGGAGCAAGCAAGAGATGGTGACAGCAGGCCAGAGTCAGCAAAGCCATGCTGGCATGTGATGTGTCAGGCTCCATGTTAGAAAGAAAAAAAAAATACTGGCATGGTTCCCTGCCCTCGTGGGTATATCCATCTAGGTAGCAGGTCCCTAGTGCTGATCTATGGATATTCTAAAATAGAACAGTGTGTGGCAAAATTTTAGCTTCCTCAGAATCTGAGTACAGATTCCACCCCCAAGGTAAATCAGACACTTTAGGACAGGGTACCTGGGGAGCTATATTTTTAATGTGTCCTCTGGTGATTCTGAGAAATACCATCAGTGTTTCTCAAAAGGTGAGCTTCTAACCACCTTTCGTGTCAAAGTCAGCCCCTTTATGAGAATAGCATTCATGTTTTCAGGGAGCTCTGAGGCTAGAAAAAGCAGTGTATACTGTCTTGCTCTGATACCATTTCCTTCCTATGAAAGGGGTATGAAAATGCACATGGAAAGTATGCTTTAAACTGCAAAGCATGAGACAAAACCAGCTAGATAAACTTCTTAGGATTTTTCAGCATGTCCAGTAATGCACCTTGTAAGGCTTTAATCCTCAGAGGCTGTCATTCAACTATGGCTGCATATTATTCTATCATCTACCTATGTTTGAGAGAGCTTAGTAATGAATTTGTCAGAGTGTGTCCCCAGCTACACATTACTGCAATGAAGTCAGTGTGGAACAGAAAGAGGCAGTCCTGAAAGCTTAATGGGTCTCTGACTGTGCTAGTTTGTTTGTTTGTTTGTTTGTTTTTGTCACCTGCACACAAGCTAGGGTCATCTGGGAAGAGGGAACCTCATGAGAGAAAAAGCCTCCATCACACTGGTCTTTAGGCAAGGCTGTGGGAGCATTTTCTTGATTAATGATTGATGCGGGTGGGCAGTCCACTGTGGCCACCCTAGGCCAGTGGTACGAGTTGTTGTTTTTTTTGTTGTTGTTGTTGTTGTTGTTTTTTAAAGCAAGTTGAGCAGGCCATGGGGAGCAAGTCAATAAGCAGCATTCCTTCATGGCCTCTGCATCAGTTCCTACCTCCAGGTTCCTGCCTTGATCTCTCTCAGTGATGGACTTCCACTTAGAAGAGTAAGATGAAATAGATCCTAGCCTACCCAACTTGCTTTTGGCCAGTGTTTTATCACAACAACAAAAATGAACTAAGACACCAACAAAATCTTTATTATTCTTCTCATATAGAAGGCTCTGGAAGATAATGTTTCTAACTCAATACGGTAACCTCTTCTTAAGGCCTTTCTGCTGCTGGTTAGTAAAGCAGAACTGAGCACTCACACTTGAGTAGTGTCATCTCAGAGAGCCATAAAATATTACATTATGCTAGGGTACTAGGACTTTTTGCACCATGGCAGAAATAGTTAGTAGGCAGACTCTGTAAGCATGGTCATATGGTTCGCAATCTCCTGAGTGTTCAGCTTCTCAGCGAACCATGAAATTTAAATTCAAGATACAAGATTCAGGATGACACAAAAACTGAGTGTGTGGACAGAGTAGGAAGGTACTAAACTCCCATTTGAGATATGATGAAGGCCAGGTGCCTTTGAGACATCCAGGTGATAACTAGAAATAAAGAGTGTAGGGATCCAAAGGTTAAGTAATACAAATGAGTAAGGAATTCTAGCCTGTACAGGATTAAAATTCATTTTCAATAATACATTTAATATAGGGGAGACACAGCAGACTTCAACGGGAGGTAGCAGGGAGCTTGCACAGTAACAAAGGAGAATTTACCGGTTTACAAAGTAATAGGTAACTCAAGATGAAGAAGAAAACAGTGAATGAGCCTCAAATAAAAGGGGGGGATCCAAAAATGAGAAGTGAATCATGAAAGCACAGAGTTGGAAAAGCTCATAGGAAATTAAAATGTCTAAGATTGATCACCACAGTCTAATACCACAGAGGAGCAGCAAGGACGGCATGGAAAAGAGGCCACTATGTTTCCAAATGTCATGTCATTGATGGCATGTCAAGGAGCAGCCAAGTAGAAGGGTATTTCCTCCCGGTTTTGCCAGACATGCTTACCAGTATCCTTCCTCTTCACATCTGTGATTGAATTATTTTTTTCACTGGTTATCAGTTTTATCCACGTTGTCCCTGAACCTTAAGATAGGGCTGCCTCAAGACAAGTCAAAGTCTTGTCTTGGACCTGTCTTCAGCCTACTCCCAGCCTTCCACCCACTCTGACCTTATTCATATCTTCCTTAATGCCCAAGAGGATGCTAATATTATTTTCCTTCAGGATTTGTGGTGAACATTAATATTGTGGATATTCAAGAAAAATTGTTCATTCAATGTGAATGGAATTTGGGAAGTGGGTGGGAAGTCTCTTCTTCTGTTGGAATACAGTAAATTATGCCTCCTCTTCACAATAAGTACAGGGTAACATGGTGGAGCATGATGGGAGAGGCAGATATAGAAGCACGAGAGTCAGATATACTGAGGACTGAGTCCACTGTAGCACATTTCATACCTGCCAACTCTTCCGTGTTGGAAGAGCTGAATTGAACGACATGTAAAGATTCAAGCATAGGGTTCTATTCTGAGGAAAACAGTTCATGGTAACAGCATTACTGAAGGGACACTAGCCACTGGATCATGTGGCTCTGGTAAGCCTTGCTCTTCACCCCAATTCCCCTTTTTTTGCTAAAAAACCATTAGATTACATTCCTATAGCTAGCCATCAAGGTCTATTTGGCCACTTCTTCCTCCTGAGACTAATTACCATGGTCCAGCTATCAGAGTATTGAGGTCCAGCAATCAGAAGCCCCTTTAGCTCGCCTAATTAACACACCCAATTAAAATTAAACACCTCATCCTAACACGGGGTTTCCCCTTTTACCTTATAAACCACCATTTGCCTGGCCTATTCTAACAAAGACCTCCCCCCAGTTCCCCTTTTTTTCTACTCTTAAAAATTAGACCTAGAAAACCACATACCATGACCAAGTTAGCTTCGTTTTATGGATGAAAGGGTAGCTCAATATGAACAAATCAGTAAAGTGTAATTCTGCACATAAATAGACTGAAGGACAAAATCACATGATCATCTGAATTGCTACCCAAAAGACCTTTAACAAATTTTCACAGCCCTTCATGATAAAGCCCTGAAAAAAACTAGAAATACAAGTAATATACCTCAGCATAATAAATGCTATATATAAGAAAAGTTCCATCTACAAGCTCCTTTGCTGTTTTCTGCCTGAGTCGGAAAGCAGCCACTTTAATTTTTCTTCCTTGCTTAATAAAGGAAACACTGTGAAAACAAGTGTTTGGATGTGGTGTGTGTGTAATCTGGGGCCTAGGAAGGAGCCCCCACTGTGTGGGAGTCCCCTTCAGTTACTGTATAGATTGGCAGACAGATGAGAAAGACCAACTCTTCCCCCATGGCAGATGTTAGGACTTTACCAAACAGGTTTGATCTTTAGATTGACAACTGTCAAACACATTCCTTGGATCTCCCTACCAACCAGCTCATCTTGGCAATTCGAAAGACTCTCATCAAGGCATTGTGGCTGCTTTAAATGCACCATAGATGCCAAGGGAAAATGGGGATGTGAAAAAATGTCTACTCACTCCACACAGGAAACTGATGAGAGACCAAAGTACAGATATTGTCAAAGTTCAAACTGATAAACCAGTTGAATTTTATTTGTGTTACAGAAATATGTGTGAGGGGTTTCTTTTCTTTACTTTTCTTCTTTTTTTTTTTTTTTTTTTTTTTTAAGACAGTGCTTCTCTGTGGCTTCGGAGGCTATCCTGGAACTAGCTCTTGTAGACCAGGCTGGTCTCGAACTCACAGAGATCCCCCTGCCTCTGCCTCCCGAGTGCTGGGATTAAAGGCGAGCGCCACCACTGCCCGGTGTGAGGGGTTTCTTATAGGAGCAGAAATGACTCAAAGACAGCTGCATCACCAAATCCTACCCTACCATAGATGACAGCTCAAAAAAAGCTAGAGATCTGGAACATAATGCACAGCCTACAAGAAATTCAGTGGTTTGGAGAGTGTCATTTCTAGGTGGAACAGCTGGTCTGAATCTCTTCCAGGCAGCTCTGCTGGTCTTCGCTTCTTCCAGGAAGCTTGGCTTGTCTGAAAGTGACTCTGAACAGTTTTTACTGCTTATATATGCCTGGGGCAGGGTGTGAATCTGGTCAGTTTCAGGGACTTCCTGAAGCTATTTTGAGTCATTTACTTCCTGTTTTAAGCTTCCCAGCAGGATGGAGTGTTTCATCTCCCTGTAAATACCCTGTTGTTTCACCATCCCTTTTATAGCTTATATTGTAAGAAGTTACCCTCCAAAGTACAAGGTTGGGAGGGTACTGCTACTAAACAGATAGCTATTCCCCAGCAGCAAGGAGCAGTTAAAACATCTGCTCTGGGAGACCCTGCTCTAGTGATGACCTCTTCAGCAAACTGCACCGGCTTTGGAAGACTGCAAGACAAAGCTAGTAAATTATGATCCTGCCACTGGGAAGGTATTCTTTCTCCATTCTCTACAGACTCTAGAAGAAAAATAAACTGTGATTGGTGCGATATGAGACTTGTGATTGCTTTATAAGAGAAGTTTGTCATTTGTTAATGCAGCACTTGTGACTGGTAGAACTATGCATATGCAGGGCTGTAATTGGTGGAATTATAATCCATACACAAGCTTGTCGTGCCCCTTTTCTGGTTATGTAAGCAGACTGTTTCCCCTAATTGTCTTGTTAATTGTCTGCAGGACTGCCTCCTGAGATTTCGATATTGGCACAGTAATAGCACCTCAGAAATAATCTCTTTGCCTGCTTACGGTCTTCATCAAGCTAGGCAGGTTGTACAGAGGGAAGATAAGACTTGAAGACGTCCACATCTGATGGCAATGGCAGAAGCACCGGCACTGGCAGGGAGGAGGCAGCTGAAGTGTTCCAGAGTCACCATGAGCTAAGAGACTCAACAGCCAAAGCTCAGAGAATAACACAGAAAGAAGCTAAGAATTCCAGAGTCCTCCATGAGCTCTGAGCTATAACACTAGGGAAGAACTAAAGGGTTTCCAGGGCAGGAAGGAGGGGGCTCTGAAGAACAAAAAGTGGGTACTGCAGAGCTTGGTCTATTTGACATCAAGGGTCCTTACACTGAAATTCAAGAGTTGTAACTACTGGGCACTGGGCACTCTACATCCTGAGCAGCAAGCTCTGCCTTGTGTACCTGGATCAATAACAAGCCTCAGGCTTTGACAGCTTGGAACTGAAGCCCAGCCTGTGAGTCCCTGGAACAACACTAAAGGAGCAACCTAGAACAGCACACAGCCTCTGTCCCTAGCCAGGTGTTGGGCGTATTAGTTACTAGTCATTCGCCCTATATGTTGCTCATTCAAGCAGCACTACATTAACTCAATGTAGAAATCTACAGTGATTATCCAAGTAATTTGGGCAGGGAAACCTTACCACCTTCCACGTAGAGCTAATCACATCTTTGAATTCACATGGACTTGAGAGACTAACTGCATGTAACGTACATACGGAAGGCACACCCAGCTCCACTGCCCACACTAGACCAATGGACATGTATTTTAAAGGGTCGCAATAGGTTAAAAAAAAAGTTTTATACACAGAAATCTTGCCTTTCTGAGTAAGCCACAGAAATGTTGAGGTCCTGTTTATAGGGAATATTGCTGATGTCCACTTCTCATGCTTTGTCCAACTAAAAACAGGAAAACTGACTTTTTAAAAGGTCTGGGCATGGTGAATCACAACTGCAATCGCAGTACTTAAAAGGTGGGTGCAGGCAGTTCAAGGACAGACTGAGTTCCACCCAACAGTGAGCTCTAAGCCTGCCTGGGCCCCTTGGGATTCTTTCTCAAAACTATACCAAAACTCCTAAACAACTAAAACCCCACGAAGAACCCTAAACAAAACAAGAATTGGAGTGAGAACAAGAAGTGACGGACAAGGGGTAGGGGCGGAACTGGAGGCAGGGAGATGACTGACCATGTAGTGTACTGAGGCACTCAGAAAATGAAGCCTGTACTTACCGCCAAGCTTTTAAAAGAAAGGTGGGGAGAAGATATCTTTCTTATTATTCGGACTCCCTGCGCCAGTCAGACAGTTACACATCACACCCTGCACCAGTCAGCCTTCTCTCGTGCTCCCGACAAGGAAAAGACTGCAAGTCAGCTATCCACTTCCTGGGGCTGAGCCACTAG